GTGGTAGAGGTGGTGGTGGTGGAGGTGGAAGTGGTATTGGTGGTGCTAAACAAGGCTGTGTTGTGATTGTTTTTGCAGTGAGTAGGTGCTGGGGAAAATGACTAGAGAGGAGACTTTTTGGAGCAGATGGTGGCTGCCTGGGTTTGGATGGGAGGGGAAGGCAGTGGCTGGGAACTGGAGCACATACTTAGAACCTGCAAACCAGGTTTCGGGGAGGAAGGCGGGAGGGAGGGATTAAGGTTTACTCGAGTTTTCAGTCAGTGGTGGGAGATGCAATTGGAGTGGGAAGCAAACGAGGAGCAGAGTGAAGTTGTGGAAGTAAATACTGACTTGGAAGTGCCAGTTGGTGCCATTTTGCAGGTGTTGAGCTCAGGCAGGAGAGCCAGCTAGAGGCAAGAGATTTGAGTACTGTCAGCTCTGGAGCACGGAGCCCAGCCAGGAGAGGTGAAGAGGCTGCTGGGGAGGTGAAGAGGGGTTGATTAGAAGAAGGCAGAGCCTTGGAAGGAGAAAGAGAAAGTGAACTGGCTGAATAGGCTTCAGTGGCCAGAGCTGTGCCTTGTGTTTATTCCATCTTTTTTGCTTCTTTTATTCATCTCTCCCTGCCCCCATCATTTTGATTTCTTTTCTTTTTTCTGTAAATTTCACCCAAATGCTGAAGGCATGCCTTGTTATGACCTCTAGGGAGCGAGCTCCTAAAGGAAGTGTGGTTTGTTTGTGTCTGTACCCCGAGTACCAGGCTTGGATGCACTCCCCGAATGCAGGTCAAACTGAGCCCGCAGCTTTGCTTTCCTTCTGCTGCCCAGGAAGTGCTGCAGGGGAAGGGAAGTGGCAGGTCCCCGTTAGATGCTCTCTGTCCATCTCATGGGACAAGTAGCCTCCCAGAACTCTGGGTTTCAGGCACTTTCAACGGAAGAGCAGAGTGGTTTGAGCGGGCACAGGAGTGGTCCGCAGAAAGTATCATCCTCACGGAGGAACTGTCCCTTTGCTTCTGACACTTAACGACAGTGCTGGCTAGCAGGTTTGTGTAGGAAATACTTCCTTTGAAAGCTCTAGAAGCTCTGTTCTGTAGCATGTAAACAGATGCTTAGTGCCAGACCTAATCTTACCATGTGACTGTTCAGAAATAATCCGAGTGGGGTACCACCTGTTCCCGGTGTGTGTACATATAGCCCGTGTGTGATTCATACCAAGAAATAGCAGCATGGTGCTGTCCTGTGTTCCTCCTTCCCCAGGCGACCTATATGATCCTCGTGTATAGATTTGTCTGATAAAGCCTCACTGTTGCCCAAGGATGAATTGGAGAAAAGGCCTTTCCTTCTGTCGCTTACTTGAACACCGCTTCCATCTGTGACAGTTACAACGGCTATACCCTACCACCACAACACTACCGCAAGGATCACCCGTATCAGAAGTGTTTCATTTCTTAAGCTGGGTGAGGGGATTATTGCCGGTCCCCCTTCCCCTTTATATTTTTACAAATGAGGGGATTTTATACTAAATTATTATTATTATTTTTTAGTGTAGTTGGTACAGGGTTTCACTATACAGCTAGGACTTGTAGTGATTCTCTTGTTTTCAGCCTCCCCAGCACTGGGATTATAGGTGTGCACCACCATGACTGGGCTTGGTGGCTGATTCAATGCACCTGGGGACAGGGCTGATGCAGCATGCGGTGCCTAGAATTGAACCTTGGTTCTTTGCATATGCCTAAGCAGGTATTTAATCCACTGAGTTATTCCACGGGCACTGTTTTTTGTGTTTTGAAGCAAGTTCTCATTAGTCAGGCTGGCCTTGAGCTTACTGTGTAGCCCATGGTTGACCTAAAATTATGGCAATCCTCCTGCTTCAGCCTACCAAGTCCTGGGATTATAAGTGTGTGCCACCTCACCCAGCATGAAATTAAGAAATTAAAATCAAAGGGATTAATCTATATATGTCCAACTTAATTTAGATTATTAACTTTTGTCCAAATTTACTATATTTGAACTATAGAAAGTGATTTAAAAATAGGAAAACATTCTTTCCTTAGAAAAATATTGCTGTTCATTATAGCAGTAGCATCTCAGAGCTGTTGAAATTCTCTGCCTATGACTCATTCTGAGTTTCATGTCCCCCTACCCCCAGGCTGTGGAAGGCTTTATGGTGTTTAAGAGGAATTAGCCCCCTGACCCCCATTAGGGAGGGAGGTGTCATAGGGGTTTGAAGGAGTTGGTCAGACAAGATATCAGCTGGCCCGAAGCACTCCCATGTGGCAATGTCAGCCTGTGGCAGTGTCAGCACAGTCTTGAGTCCAGTAGGCTCAAAAACCCAACATCACAGGAGGAAGAGCTGGGATGTCCCAGCTCAACAAAAGCATCATGTTAAACCAAGGTACATGTTGGGTGATTTTTAAAATTTCTATCAGTATGTGTTTCAGTGCCTAATGATTACATTCAGAGTGGGGAATAGGTATGTGTGTGTGTCACAGACCTCAGTTCTGTACATCCTCTTCCCTATCCACCTCCCCCAAGTTCAGTGATTTTATGTTGACATATGGAGTTGGCAGGGCCCCCGAGTTATATGCACTCCCAGAGCTAAGCTGTGCTCTCCCTGTAGGGAGGCACACAGAGCCAGGGCCAGCCAGGAGCTGCTGGGTGAGCAGGGAAGCAGAAGACAGGCCACCTTTGGCCTGTTTTGTAAGGGAAAGAGTGCTGCCTCCAGGAACAGACCGGTGCCTTTGGGTTGGGGAATGTCCTGCTCAGGGGCCTGTCCTCTGTGTGCCTCTTGGGAGGGCTGTTTGCTGGAGTGCTCAAGACAGTCTGCACTAGAGTCAGGAACACTGTGGTCATGAGACTTAATGGTAACTGTAAGATGTTGAGCAGAGCTCCTAGTGTAGTGGGCTGGGGTGTAGCTGAGCAGCACAGTGCCTCCATGGCACGCCTGAGGTTGTGAGTTTGATTCCTGGTTCCAAAGAAAGCCCAGCGCTCCTGGTGTAATTCAGGAAACTCAAAATAGGTGTTAGTCTTCATTACTGGTTTTTTTGTTTGCTTGTTTGTTTTTTGTGGTACCGAGGATTGAACTCAGGACCATGTACTTGTCAGGCAGGCACTTACTCTACTGAGCCATTTCCCCAGC